AGAAGAGCAGCCTAAAGAACAAGGGATCTTGTCAGGGATTAGTAAGCAGAAGCTGGCGAATACGTTTAGCAGCTTCAGAGGTAAGCTGAAGCAGATGAAGGTAAAGAATGAGAAGAGTGTTGTTACCAATGAAGAGAAACATGAGGAGAAAAGCGGCACCACAGTTGACCAGATCAAGAAGAAATACGGATTTGCCTCATCCGAGGTACGCTTCTATATATTAGACTTAATTCAAGTTTGTAAACTCACTTGTCGATCACATCTTTCTGTGTTTGTTGCAGGAAATGGGAGCTGCAAAAATGGCTCAGAGCAAACTTCAAGACAACCTGAAAAAGCTACAGGTAAGTTGATTCATGGACGTTTCAGACGTCACTCTTATCATCGACTGATTCATATCGACTCATCGAAGCTTAATATCCGTTTGTATCTCTGTAGGGAATTAGCTTGAGGACGACGGAAATGGAAGATACTGCTAAGTCTTTCTCCTCGACTGCAAAGGAACTGCTGAGTGCGGTTGAGTTCAACAAACAGAGCTCAAAATCTTAGCACTCTCTTCTTCTCTTGCTCAATTCATTTTTATTTAAACTATATATCTTAAAGAAAAGTCTTGAATGTTAAAAAAATTCATCATTTTGTTTTGACAGCATTGCTGAACAATACTGTAAATAGCTTCTTCAATGTTATACACTACACCTGTGGGAGTTTCTCGACCCAAGTAATCTCAATACTAATCTCAACTTGTATATGCAATTAGAAATCTAGGCATATGAGTCGTAGACAAATGTCAAGCTAGATTCAATTCACCATAGATGATGATAAGAACAAAGACACAAAATGACAAAAGACAATCACAAACATCTGACAAAATTAGCACAAGAACAAAACCAGTATTCCTTGAGAGAAACTAATTCCTTTTTGTAATTAACATTTTCACCATATAACATAGAGAGCAAAATATATATATATAGAGTGTAGAAGATAAAACGCAAACATATGAAATCATCTCATAAAAAGGTTAGAAATGAAGCTCGACAAAAGCTCAATCCAAAGTTGAAAAGTACCATCATAATGATTTAATCCCAAGTTAAAAACATAATAATTAAAAAAAAGGGGGAAAAATATAGCAACAAAGTTTAACTATTTCTTCTCCCAAAAAACTAGCTAACAACACAATAACACCATAAAGATAATACTTCATACACAA